TTGTTGTTGTTGTTCATTTTTAAAATAAACGTTATTAAAAAATTAAAAAACTGTTTGTTTTTATAAACGACGACACTCTACGACTGCGAAAGTCTTTTTAACGAATTTAAATATAAGAATAATTAAAGTTAATCCATTTTAAAAGATAAACAAAGTTTTGTTTAAAAAAAAAGTTTTAAAAAGCCGTTACAATATAATAAGTTTGATCTTTAATGCTTTTATATTATCGAAACGTTTTTAATGAAGTAAAAAACACTTCTAATTAATTTAAAAAAAAAAATATTATTAAAATGTTATTTTTTTTTATATATATAATTATGTATTATTTTTTTATGAAAATGTTTAACTTTTGAAACATATTAAATAAATAAAAAAATATATAAAAATGTTGAAAACAAAGATTGAAATGGTTTTTTTAGTGCGTAAATTAAATAGACTAAGCATTTTAGTTTGATGAGTTTTGTTTTAGTTGCACTATATATATATATATTTATTTTTTTTTTGTTTTTGCTTTAACTAAGTATTTTTTTTATTTTATTTTTCGGTAAGATTTTTTTTCCTTTTACAATTTTTTTTTTAGATAAGTTTAGGTTTTTTGTTTAGGTTTAGTTTAGGTTAGTTTTGTTTTTTGTTTAGATTTGTTTAGGTTTAGTTTAGGTTAGTTTTTTTTTTGTTTAGATTTAGTTTAGGTTAGTTTTATAGGGCATTTTAAAATTTTGAAGATATAGTAATAGTAATACAAACTGCTGTAACGACGATTGTCGCGGAGTATAAAGTTTAAAATTTATACTTTAACAGCCGTTAACAAATATTTATCTAGTCTAGCTTTAAAGGAATTTACTGTCATTGCAGAAACCACTTTTTCAGGTAAAGCATTCCAATGAGGTATCACTCTGTTCGTAAAAAAATTATGTCTCAGTGTAGTTTTTGCAAATTCTCTTTCAAATTTCATTGGATGACCTCGAAGTCTCTGGGAAGAAGCTTTATTAGGCTCTTTATACCATAATATCTTATCAATCCCTGTTGTTAATTTGAAGAAAGCAATGAGATCTCCTCTTATACGTCTTGTTTCCAGAGTTGTGAGGCCAAGTGTGGTCTAACCAACGATGTGTATAGTTGCCTTACCATTTCAGTGTTAAGATAAGTTAAGCTTTTTCTTATTAAACATAAGATTCTTTGTGCTTTACTTGTAGCTACCTGATGATTCCATTTCATATTGGATGAAACTATTACACCCAGTCTAAGTCTAGTTCTTTTGTTGTTGTTTTTAGAAGAAAACTTTGATTGTCGTGCTTTATAGTGTAGTTATAGTTAATATTTTTTCTTCCAATGTGCATAACACTGCATTTATTTATGTTAAAGTCCATTAACCATACATTTGACCATTCAGTTAACAAATCAATGTCATTTTGCATATTAGTTAGATCATTATGTTCTTTTATAACAGATATGATTTTAGTATCATCAGCGTATAGTTTTGCGATTGAAGAGATACATTGGGGAAGATCATTGATATATAACAGAAAAAGAAGAGGACCCAATACAGAGCCCTTTGGTACACCACTATAAACCTCGCACCAATCTGATACAACTTCACCCATTACCACTCTTTGTTTTCTGTTTTTTAAAAAAGAATCAATCCAATTTAAAATATTGCCTTTAATTCCATTGTTAGAAATTTTATGTATAAGTCGATAGTGGGGCACCTTATCGAACGCCTTTGCAAAATCTAGGAACAATATATCAACTGGATAACCATTTTCAATTTCAGTTGTAATAATATCGAAAGTTATATATGTTAAAAGCCGTGGTCAAATCATATAAAGACGTATCTAATTTTTTTAGAGGCATTCTCTGGATTGGACTCTGGATTGTTTATCAAAACTGTAAGTTTGGTTATAAGCTACAATCTATCTATTCAATAGACTATTGTGATTACAGATCTTCTTTAAACTAATTTTTTAAAACAAAAAACAAAAAATCATTTCAACTTCAAAAGGTTCAAAAGTGACCAAAAATGGAATTGTGTAAGAATTTATATCTTTTATAAGTTATAGTACATTTTTGAATTAACTAGACCTACTTTCCTTAATTTTAAACATAAGCACAAACATTTTGTATTTTAATACTTTTAATTATTAAAAGCAAATTTTATTGATCCATCCCTGATTCTCTTTGTTCTGAGTTACTTTAATTTAGGTTTACTTTTAATTTTATCTTTCCAAATAATTGCTGGATAAAACATTCGATACTGCCAAGAATATATTGAAATTTTTAAATATTAGATGTATAGAAGTTTGAATATCAGAGCTTGAAAAAACATCATTAGCAGTTTTCAAGCTTAAATCAGAAAATAAACTTTTATCACTGCGCCACAGCTTTAGAGCAGCCGTAGCGCACTTGCCTCAGAAACGTAAAATCCGTTGTTCAAACCCCACTCTGGGTAAGTTTTGCGACATCGGTTGGGAAGGAGGCGTGAACTTCCTATTAAATGCTCGTC